TTCCCAAAGCCCCAGAGAGCCATATCAGGTTAAAACATGGCCAAGAATTGCCCATTACCTTTGGAAAAGTTTTGCCAATAAATGTACTATGTAGGACTGTATATTCCTATGGTATTTGTGCAATCGCGATGGCCAACAATAAATGACCAAATTGTGCCCAATAATATGCCAAAGCAGTTTGGATAAATTAGGTAGGTTACCGTTGGTTTAATTTTGGGAATGTTTGGGCATGGAAAAACGATGACAAATTTTTGATGTTTATTTGGGCAATTAGGCTTTTGAAAAATTGACCAAATATTGGTAAATATTTGGACAAATCCAAAGTATTAACAAATATTATTATTATATTTGAAAATTGGGTAAATAAAAAATTTTGTATTTATATTTTTTAATAATAAAAAAATAAAACAGTATGTTTCAATACTGGAACAGAGGTCAAAAATAAAATTAAAAAAAAAACAAATGTATAAATAAAAAATATTTAAAATAATCAAAATTGGAAAAAAATATTGTTTTTTTATGTTGAATCCCAAGCAGTGATTTAATTGTTTTTTTGCAATAAGGCTTTTTTTTATTTCGGACCCGTTGCTTCGCGTTGTTTAAGGCCACGTCAAAGGACCTCTGGAATTCTAAAGCCCCTGGAGGAGGAAATTTATCATGTTCATGTAAACTCTCTAAAAAATACTTTAAGTAACAAAATTGTCTAGGAAATAATATTAAAATATAAAACATACGGTGAATGGCTTGTACGATTTTTGTTTTGGACACTCCAACACCAGCACGTCCAGTGCGCGTTATTTTGGAAGAAACTTCATCTGAGAAGGCTTCTTTGACAATTAAATTCACGCTGCCTACGACGTCATCGTCAGCGACAAATTTAAAGTAGCTAACCTATAACATAACAATATAAAAACACAAGTCTTAAAACGTATTTTGGAAGTGAAAACCATTTTTTGATACATGTTTACAAAAAAGTGTTATTTTTCTATGAAGAATGCACTGTTTAAGTTTGGCCCCCTAATTTCAGGACACCCTGTATACCTATCTATAGATTTCTTTAAGTGCAGATGTATATACAAGAATATTCTTGGTTGAGTTTTTCTTGTTTGACGGGTCAACACAAATTGTGTTACACAATTTTTTAAATTAAATTACCTATGTTACGTTTCATTACATTACTTTAAATGCTGGCTAAATCCACCTTTATACTTGTTATAATATTATGATACAAATAGAATTACGATCAGGCTATCAAGAATTATGCTTTATTAAACATTAAGAACTTATTGTAAAATAGTTTGTGATTGGTAACTTTATGTTATGAAGAACTTTAAAAATAAAAAAGAAATAAATTTTTAAATTCAATAAAAAAATTGCAATTACCTTGCTCACTTCTAGCACGATAGATCTTAAAACCCAATAAATCCTCTTTTTTCTTCGTGACATATAGGTAGAAAATTTATTTTTAAATTGTCCTGCTTGTAGTAAAAGCCTAGTACCCATAAACACTATTTACCTAGAAAAAGGCAGTTATTTTTCTTCACTGCAACTTCAAGATGAAAATCTGTAACAATTAACAAAAAATAAGTACATAATATAGAACTAGCAATGTAAATTTATATTACCTACTTCAAAATTAATAAGGGAATAAAATCTTCGAGAAGTAAGAAATTGTATAATAATTGAATGTTTTATTAAAAACTTTGAAAACAAACCTAACCTTAATTACTTACTCAAAATTTAAAGCCGTTTAAAACTTTACACGTTTAGTTAGTGCACAGATGATTATATTTTTTTGTAATAACTATCACACAAGCACTTTTTGACGCCTTTTTGTAGAGAAGGTCTTGAAATATTAACGCCATTGCGATTCTTTTTCCATGCTGATCAATTATTTGCCAAGTTTCGATCAATCTGAATTACAAACGCTTTGCCAATTTTCGACCAAACTTCATTACAAACGACGTTGGCCAATAATAACTCTATCTAGGACTGTATATTTGTGTAGTTGTTGTGCTATCGCATTGGAAAATAATTTGGCATAAAACATGTCAATTTTTGGTCAAACTTTATGAAAATACAATTAATATGTCCAAATAAACCCCAATAAATGTAAAATATCGTAGTCCAAACTTAGTTGGGAAAAAGTTGACTAATTTCTTTCCCAAAGCATGGCTCTCTGGGGCATGGCTCTCTGGGTTGTAATCAAAATTAGAAGCTACTAAGGGTATCATAAATAAGACTTCAGTTATATGATATCTTACAGTATTCTCTTTTCTTACTTCTTACTGAAATCATATTATTAACTCTTTAAGACGTCAACATGGAGACGTCACATTTATGACATTTTAATGCGATTACTTTCTTCTCACCGCTGTAACTGCTTGTGTTTGATATAAGAAGCGGCGAAGTAGAATTTAGAACGTGCTTCATACCAAACGGTCTTAGACCTATAGGTAAACGGCTACCCGATACTGACGAGCTCCAAAAGAGCAAAACAGGCCGTCTATACCTTTATAATCTGTGCGTCTATCGGTAAAGATCACGCTTGAATTTAAACAAAAGTGAGACGAAGTAATCGCGATTCCAAAAATAAGCAAATACGAGCAAATTATTAAAATGATTTTAATAAAATCAATTTAACAAATTCGTTTGTTTTATGGTAATTAAACTTTACATGTGAAAATACCAGTACCCTAGTAGTACCTACTTCTATATCCAAAACGGGAAATTCTAAAGAAGTATTTTTATAAGTTTATACAGTAGGACTCTTTAAAATGCTTAATTGTGAAGTCAAAGAAAAGGGTTCCTCAAGAGTTCTTTTTTGAGATGTCTTGATTAATTCAGTAGGTGGCGCATTCGAAGTCTTAAGACACATACTTCCACACACACACAAGTATGTGTCTTAAGAACTTCTTAAAAACTTCTTTCTGATGTTGTTTTTGACGTCCAAATCATAAAATAGAGCTTATGCAGACTTAATTAAGACATCATAATGCTGTCTGGGAATACGCGACAATTGCAATAATTCATTTCTACAATACATGACAATTGCAAAAATTCATTTCTGCAATACACATCAATTAAAAAAAATAACACATTATTAAAAATTAATAATATTTACATGTATGTTGCTGAATTTAAAACAATTGCATAAATAAAATTAAAGTATTGCTAAAAATATTTTGTACAATATACACAAATGTTGCGATAATTTATTTAAAATATTGGTATTTGTTTTTTAACATTGGTTTTTATTTTTACAATACCAGCCCATTGTAAGAATATATTTTTGCAATGGGCGAGTGTTACCAAAAAAGTTATAAGTTGTTGCTTAAATTTTATTTAATTTTTGCATCAGTGAACACATTTATTTCTATTGAATTTCTTTTTTAGAATTATTCTTGCAATTCTGTTAAAAACGTAAAACTACAAATACAATAGATTATATTTTATAAGCAATTTGTGCGTAGGTATTGTTATTATTCCTGCATTATATATATTTTATCTATTTTGGTTTCATAATGACTTCATTATAACACCGCTTTTGGTTCTTTAATGAGGTACTTTATTCCACCCAAAATTTTGATTTTATAGGTTGGCTACTGGTAAAATACAATTTTGAATACCTATAGGTTATAATATTTTTATGATTTGTTTTCTAGTACTTACGAGACTTTTCGTGTAATAAATTTTGTTTAACACCAAAGAAAATCCTTTTTTCTTCTTTAACAGCCGCTTATTGTAAATACTTATTGTAAATTAACGACGCCATAGCGAAAGAATGTGATAATGTTTGAAAGGTTAATGACCTTTCAAACTTCAAACTTTGTTATCTATGATACCAACTATGTAAAGTAAAATTTAACCAAATTAAATATAAGGTATAAAATTAATTTGTTTTATGAAATGTTTGCAAAATAGATAAAATAGCATAAAGAACTCATGTCATAAGACCTTTTGTCGCACTTGTCCATTATAAAACTCGCTCCTTCGTCGCTCGTTTTATAAATTGTCCGCGTGCGACAAAATGACGTCTTATGACATTAGTTCTTTAATACATATACTATTATTATATTTTTTAAATTTGGTGCAAAATCCCGCTTTAATTTGTTATTAATATAAACAGTACCTACTTTTAATGTAACTTACAGTGGAATATTATTAAAAAGTAATTTGGCGCGTGTTTTAGGTACGCCGTTTTACTTTTTATTAAATTAATATGCTAGTTACATTAAATAGTAAAACGGCGCGCCATATACATTTTTCATAATGTAATGTGTATTTAAAAGATCATTAGTCATGAAAAGTTTTTGTTGAAAAAAAAATCTTATCTAGGTAGGTATTAATTTGAACATTAAATTAAAAACTAAAAAACAAACTATGAAGATATTTTAGTTTTTAGTGCAAATTCGCATATAAATGTTTCTAAAATTTTATCAGAATTGTTTTTATTATTTTGCTAAAGCAATTGTGAAATCTGAAGTTATCTAATTATTGCGAATATGTTATTTAGACTTGTCAACCAAAGCTTTATTATAATTATAGAGAACTTAAAGCAAATATATTTGGTAACCATTACAAAATTAAAATAACCCTTAATTAAGGGGAGTTAATTAATTTTATGTAGTAATTGGATGATGTTTTGCAACAGTTTGTTTTGTTTTTTAATTTTCGATGAAGAAACATCAAAAGCACCACAACAATTATTATAAGCAACAATGATTTAACCAACATGTTGTGTATTTTCTGAAGCAAATGCTAATTATCTCGGAACAATTATTATAGGTATTGGTCTGGAAACTTCCTAAAATGATTATGCCATTATGACATTAACCAAAGTTACAAAACACCGTCTAATTTTGAGTTCCCATTCATGCCAAAATTAATTGTTGAATCAACAATAACTTTATCCAAGTAAACATTGATTTAGCTTAGTTAAGTAAACCTTGCAATGAGTTAAATCACTTTGTTATAATTTGTCTGTTTTATGAACCCACCGTTATAAACTTTTTCCACTTTGCGCTTGAATCCGAACGAGTTTTCGCTGTGATATTTTCGAACATTTCTGATGGTTTTCCCCAGGCCGTAGTAACTTTTCAAAATACACTTCTCGCACGCGGTTAAGTACATTGTACGTTACCGTTTTCTGTCCTATTTCACTTAAAATACGGCTTCTATCTATATTAAGGAGGCAATTTATTTTGTTGACCTCACTCAAGTGAAATGCATTATCTTGCTGGCGATATCAACGAGTTTACAAAACATTAGATAGAACAGTCAGTTAGTTGAAATAACTTAGTTCTAATAACAAATGTTATGGGGAATGTTTATACCTTAATAATTTAAACTATTATTTAATGATTAATATACCTACCCTCGTTTGTTTGTTTATTTGTTCTTGCTGGTTTATTATTATTTAAATCAATTAATGTAGGTAGAACGATCAAGATTTTTGTTTTCTTATTCTGATTCTTTTAATGTTTTCATGTAAAATTTTATAAATGTCCTTAAATAAAATAATAATACCATTGAGTAATGATATGATAATACTAAACCAGAGCAAAGAAAAAGAATTCAACAAAGCACATTTAATTTGTCAAATGTGGCTAGTAGCGACATCTCGTGTTTAGGGTATTAACAAACAAGATTCAATTTTTCTTCAATCCAGAAAACTATATTATTAAAATTAAAGAGAAATCCTTACTGAACCCATTAAAGATGATCTAAGTAAAATTTTCCATGACGTCATTAAATGATGGTAAAAAACATTAATACAAATATTTTTATCGATGATACCCTATCAAATATTTCACCCATTAATCCAATAGGATTTTTTACAACAATAATGCTTTTTTTTGGTAGGTACCGATTTTTATAAAATAGTACCTACATTATGTATCAAGTTTTATAAACTTTTGACCTCATTTTGTTTATATAGTTTTCGGAGAAAATTAAACAGTATTTTGTTATGAGAACATAGATAATATAATAAATATACTGTTAAAGACCGGGCCAGTCACTTTTTTAAACAGTTTCTGAAATATCTGTGTTTTCTAAATTTGAATGCAAGGAAAGTGAAGAGTATACCAGGGTACTAATTAAATACATAATTTATTGGAAAATATAAGATTTATTGCAACTCTGAGCATATTATACATTAAATATCTTAAAATCAAATAATACCACACATCAGTGGCGGCTGGTGGATTTTGGGTATACCGATATATCAATTATTAGATATGGGACCCACACCAAATTTATATGAGTTTATAATGACATTAAATAAACAAGTTCTGCGCAAGCAGAATTTAAATTGAAGTTTACCAAAAAAAGATAACCAAAACATAGAACATGGAACTGACGACACGGTACTGATGAATGGGATACAAATTTGAGATTATAATTCGGAATTAAGTATTTTTTATTAGTGGATACTCCTTATCAACAAATCACATATAGCCTTATATAAATTACAATGAAATATATATGCGTAAGATAACTACTCACCACAGTACTGAAATTTTGACTGGAACTATACGTGCATTCACCACAACTTCGCCGCTTGCATTGTTTTCAAGATGACTGTTGTGCAAAGGGCTGGCTCTGTAGGTAATTTTTTACCAACACTTGAGTTAAAACGAGGACTTGACGTTTAAACTTCAATATTTCGCAGGAATTTTGAATTTTAACGTTGGACACAGAACTCCAGTTGAATTGATGTTTTGAATATTTATTATGTTTTTCTACAAACGTGCGTTTGAAAAAATTCATTAAAATTGGGTGGACAAGTTAAAAAAACCTGGATATTTTGTAAAATACTAAAATATTTACAAAAAATTTTAAAATACCTACTCTATTGACTGATGACTTCAAGTTGTCCAACTTTTGTAGAATCACCCATATGACGAATTTAACCTCACTTTTTCCCAGCCTGTCAAAATAGGAGTACCTAGATAAATTAGATTTTTAGCTGGTTATTTAATATTCTAAAAAGTTAAAATTTTACTGCAAAATTCCTTGTTTTTTTTATTTAGAAAATAAAAAATTAAAACGAATTACCTAGTTGATGAAATATTTATTTGCGTTTTGTGTCAAGGCATTACAAAATTTGTGCACATCACATTATTTTCAAGCACCAAAGTTCAAAATCATAACAAAAACAACACATATAAACAGGAACATTTTTATTAAAAAATGTGTAAAATAACGTACAATTGTACTTTAAAGTACAAACAGTAAAAGACAAGAACATGTCAGTTAAGTTTAGTTAAATACTTATTGTAACAAAATACATTTTGATTATTTATTATTATTATTATTAATAAGTATAAGTAATACATTGTTAAATTTGGCTTCTTATTACCCACATTACTTAGTGTAAGAAAAGTGGTAAAGCGTCAGTACAGAAAACTAAAAACTAAATTACCAGAGACCGGAAGAGAACCCTCCTGGGGGCACCCTGGCACGCTGTGAGGCAGCTACAGGAGCTACGGGGGCTGTAGGTGCTACAGCACTTACAGGAGTTACAGTAGGTGCTGCATTGGAGGTAGGAGCAGCAGGTGCCTCCGTTGGAGTTGTCACCTGTTGTGGAGCTGCCTTTGGTTCACTTCTGCCTTCAGTTATGGAGGAAGCATTTCTGCCGTTGTCTTTTCTTGCCACTAAAGGCTCAGCAGCCTCAAAAAGTGGGGTGTGACCGCCACCTGGGGGCCTCAAAACTCTACTCGAGTTACGACCATCAGTCAATCCAACATTGTAGTTTGTGGAAGTCATTCTAAAAAAAACAAAATTATTTTACTTTATCGGTATTAAAAACGTGGTTGTGACATTTTGTCTATAAAACCACCAAAGAATCCCGCCTAACCGCAAAGGTTAAACTATTGCATCTTCCTACCTACGAATTCAACAATACAACATCGCAAATAAACTTACTTTCCACGAATCTAGTTTACACCGGATATAACAAACGGAATTTCTATGACAACCGTTAAAAACCCAACAAACCAAACAACAACTCGCTCTCTAACAAACAGCCTACTTACTTGTATTGTATTCGTGCTACACAACGTGCGTTAAAATTAGATTTTAGCGCTGAATTCTTGTATTTTATTGTTCTAGTCTACGGTAACTTCGCGCGACCTCTCCTCTCAGCCTCTAATAATCAACTGCCGACGAAAAATCGTTGAACGCGAAGCACGCAGTTGGCCGAGCCGTTTGAAAGTACGAATCCGATTGGGTGCCGCGCGTACGTCCGACCAATGAGCGCGCCGATACGAGCGTCGGCGGGTAAATGGGAAACTAAAACAAAGTTCACTCAACGATTCCTCGGTTTAAAATAAGAAGCGTTCAATGCGGTTAATTAATTTTTTGTTGGGTTTATTGGATTTGTTTGTGTTGTATCATGCTGTGTAGTGATAAAAATAACTGTACAATTTGTTATGTACCAAGCACTTCAATTACCCTGATAATAAAATCTATTATTGGATTAACGGGAATATATTATTAGATACCTATCTAAGTATGTTGGTACATGAGGGCTTTAAATTTAATTATTATTTATGTTTAAACACGAAAAAATACCCTACAACATAGTTACACTAATTTTGTATTGGATGAATGGCAAAATGCTTGAAAAATTATTTTTTCTACAAATTTCAATTGGCCTTGAAATTAATGCAGTGCAACAGGTGCTTACGCAACATTATTTATTTGGATGAATAATACGAAGATGTGATCATTTATTTACCTATAGGTGAAAATCTAGTTAAAACCAGCTATCCTTATAAAGTTTGATGTCTTAGGTGTTAAGGCGTCATCCCAAACTTCTAAAAGAGATTTTATAAAATATTATTTTTAGATTAATATTTTTAGAGAGAAATTCGGTTCTTGGAAAATAGTTGTAGATAGATCTATGTATACCTACAACGATACGGGTAGCACCCATGATACAGAGAAAAATTGTTAAAAACCTTTATTATTATTCGACAATTTTATTTGTTAAACGATATACCGGGTGTTTCTGGGGAACGGTAAAAGATATCGATTTGAAATTTTAAAAGCGTTTATAATCCATTTAAGTCCATTTTTCTAAAATATTTTAAACAAAATTCCACTTCCGGTTTGACCGGAAGTGACATCAACTTTATTATTTTAAATAGAACACCCCATATATTTCTACATTTTTAAATTCTACATAAAATTCTGAGTGAAATTACCGTACTATGTCCTATACCTAAAGTGAACAGTTTTCGAGTTATTAATTTTTTTCGTTAAAATTTGCAAATGCGCGTCAATCAAAATTAGCCTATAACTTTTTTCCTATTAGTTTTGCGGATATGGTGGTGGAATTTTTGGAATCTTAAAACATTGTTTAAAAAATCCATTTCAATTCTTTAACGTTTTTCAACAAATTACCCGAGAAAACCCAGGGCAAATTGGGCAAACTTGAAAGGTTGATAATTTTTTTATTTTAAATGTTCTTCATTCTGTTTTTACCTAATCAAATCGCATATTAAAAAACCTTATTAATAATTTCAGAGATATTTAACAATTTCTAATATTACACCCAGAATAGTCAATGTAGAAGTAATTACTTCTACATTCTTAAGAATTAATGTACCTATAAAAATGTATTTTTTTTGCAAAATTTAAAAATGCAAAAATATAGGGGGTGTTCTATTTGAAATAACAAAGTTAATGTCACTTCCGGTCAAACCGGAAGTGGCATTTGTTAAAATATTTTAGAAAAATAGGCTTATCTTTTGCGAACGTGAAACACCCTGTACATATACATATATTATGTATATGTACATACATAAAAAATACAATTATAATATTTATTAAAAGTAAAAAGTGAGGTTAGGTTTATTTGACAGTTATCGAATTTTTTAATTGGTCCAATGAGGTGTTTTAAAATTTCTGGAAAAATTGGGAAGTTTTTAAAAGTGTAGTCGTATTGGAAAAAAAATTCAATTTTCCAAATTTTCAGAAAAATGGACTTTTGCATTTATTCAGTAGTGTTTTAAAGGCTCGTTTTTTTGTTTTTTTGCGAAGTGCAGAAAAAATTATTTTATCCCTAACCGGCAGTAAAGTAGTCAACAATCGGCAGTAAAGTAAAAGAAATCGGCAGTAACGTAGAACTTTACTGCCGATTTAATACGAGTATTGTATGCAACCCATTATACATTTTAAGATGTGTCTACTGCTCCTCACCAGCAACAAAATAATATTTTAAAAAGCACCGTCGCGAAGGTTGATTGGACCCTTTCATAAAATGTTGTTTAATTAAAATAATAAGTTAATTTTATTAGTTTTATTAAAAAATCGCCGCGGCGGGCAAATATATAATAACCGTCGCAACAAACAGTATACGTAGACACTTCCTACATTCAAATGACATTTGATTTAATCATCAATTTTTCGCCTCTGCAAATAATTTCCACATTCGTAATAAAGAATATGACTTTACTGCCTTGATACATAAATAACTATTTTCGAAAAAATTGAATTTAAAAAAGTTGTTACGGCCTTAAGTAATTACTAAGTAAAAATAAAACTTTTATTCATACCATAAACCATAAACTTTTATTCATACCATAACATATGTTATATAACATAACATAAAAAATGCTCCTTTTATTAAAATGTGTGTACAAGCTTATTTTTAAATTTTTCCAAAAAAAAAACAAAAATCCACATCCATCTTCCTGATGCAAAAATGACGTGCCCTGGTTTTGTTATCCATGATGGCAACGGTTTGAAGTTTCAGTCAGAAATTCGAATTATTTTCGTAATGTCAAAATTGTCGTACAATGGAAGAAATTATTTCTCACGTATTGAAATGTATGTCCCACACAATAATAGTGCACGTGGTATCTTTCCCGCATTTCTCCATTGAAACCTTTTTGGCTGGGGTAGTCTGTGTGGTGCACTGTTTGCTGATGTTCGAAATCAACACCCTGGTTTATAAAACCAACGCTATATCGACGGCAAAATTAAAATTTCTGTTACCATTAAAAGGTACAGCTGTATAAAACGAAATTTGCAACTCTTAACTTTGTTTTTTAGAAGTGGAAGGCTCTACTTCAGTGCACAGCGTAGTTCTTCAAAAGCACGCCTTAAACAACATGGACAGTAGAATGTGCAACGCTTACAAAAAAGAACGACGGAAACTCAGCACTACAACGGGAATTTCGTTTTCCTCCCCGCAATCCAAAGAGAAGCACTGTTACGACAGAATCGAGCAAATTCTGTCTATTACGCCCAGCCAATACATCAGAAGGGACAAAGAACGCAGAATGAAGGATCAAGGGTTAAAGACCTGCATCCACTCTTTGACATCGCTTCTTGAACAATCCTTGCACAAAGATAACATGATCCTGAGCAGGATGTCCAAGGAAAACATAAGAAAGAACATTTTCGCTTTGAAAGATTTCGATAAAAACAACAACTCCACTCTCCCTCTGCACATAACGTCCGGGGGAGAATTTCCGAGTCAAACCTTCCCCAGCATGACCTCTATTAGTTCGGGGAAAAAACAGTTTATTTTCAACAAATATGCCTATGAGGATTTCACTATAGATTTGAACACAACTTTCAACAACCCAGAAAATAACAACGACAAAGATGAAGAAGAAACTAACTACTGCAAGCAGGAGTACTATGAAGAACGAACCGAAAATATTATTTGCACCGATCTCGAGCATCTCTGCAATGAAAACACCATTTCAATTATTCCTTGTTCAATTGGAGACCAACCTATGCCGATTTTCGCCACGTAGTTTTTGGATATTGTAAGAGCCAATAGAATTTTCTGAAATTTAAATATTTTTCATATACCTAGTCGTGTCCATGATTATTTTAAATAAACCTTTGATTTTACAATAAATGAAATTATACATTAATTATCTGTTCTGAGTTTTTAACAAGGCAAGAAGCAAATATATTATATAGCCGAAATAGCTCAGTTGGGAGAGCGTTAGACTGAAGATCTAAAGGTCCCTGGTTCGATCCCTGGTTTCGGCATAACTTTTTAAATATTTTATTTTTATTAAAATAATTATTTATATTATAGGATTTCAAACTGTTTTAAAGGATTTTTAAAATTACATACCTATATATATTTTAAACGTTTTTAAAAAGCTTAAAATGTTAATTAACATTAAGATTTAAATCAACAATACAATTGAGGAGCATCCGTGCAAAACCGGCTAACAATTAATAAATATAATTTATAAACGCCAGTTATTTTTAAATTTGAGAAATAAAAACTGCATAAATACAAGAAAAAACAATTTAAAAAAAAGGTCCCACCGAGATTTGAACTCGGATCGCTGGATTCAGAGTCCAGAGTGCTAACCATTACACCATGGGACCTTGAAATAAAAGGTTAAAATCGTAAAACTTATTTTATCTATGGTTAAATTTAAACTTTAAATTTTTATTTTTACTTTTTTACATTTTTGACATTAAAAACTGATCGTACAGTGTTGCGGTAAAATACCTACTATTTAATTAGGTATGTACAGTGTGCCGACACGGAATTTTGAACGTCATAATTTGGTTTTTCATGAATAAATCTTTAAAAAGCAACAATATTGAGCATTTTTCGCTGTCAAAATGACATGACTAGTGATAACCGGAAGTAAGTTTAAATAATCGAGGTTATCTATGTCAATTTAACGCTTATTTCGTCTCTGAAAATACCTTTTATTTCCACCTTCCACGGTCTTATATACAGGTCTTGCAACTTCGCCCAATTTCAATAGGAAAAGTGACCTCTCTAATGAGACACCCACCAGATGGCGCATCGAGTTGAGGGTGAACCATAGATGTTTAAAGGTCGTTTTTACCTTCTTTATCTTTGGGTTTTACAATCGTTAGATAAGCTCTCTGGTGGATAATTTTCTTAGATAGAAGGTTTCTATGAAAGTTATCCGCCAAATAAGCTAACTTAATCTAACGATTGTAAAACCGGCTCTAAGTCCTTAAAGTCTATGGGATAAAGGTCAAATGAACTACCTACTTATGTTCTGTGAAGAAACATAACCTACATTTTTATAAACAAGCTTGTGTATTTTGTTACAGGGAGTTTTTACTTGTTATTGTGATATTCGTTATTGTTATATTATATTGTTCTATTTTTTCTTGTTATATTTGTTCTTGTAATACATTTGTATTTGTGCTTTTTAATAGACATGAAGTCCTGTGTTGTGCCAAAATGTAACCAGCAAAGCTATCGTTCCGGCATTAAAATTAAGCGGTCCATGTTTAAAGTGCTAACAAATAAGGAGCGGTTAAAAACATGGCAATGTGCAATAAAAAACATATTATTGACACCTTCACATTTTGTATGATTATTATATAATTAAGCACATCGTGTTGGTGAAATATATATTATTTTAAATAAACAATCAACCCATCCCCGCCAAGACAATAAAAAAATCGGTTATTAATAAATTAGCCAGAATATTGGTTGGTTAGTTTGTTGTGTTACTAGAAATTTTGGTTTTCATATTAGCCAAATTGAATTGGATAGTTTACAAATTATCCAGCTATTCCTAAATAATTTCAAGTAAATTAGCCAAGACCCTTGGTTGGTTTACAAACTAGCCGCTAATTTAGTTAAAAATACGTTTTCAATTAAAATAGCTGACAGTTTGGCTAGTTTATAAACTACCCAGCTACTTAATAAACTATCCATGTTTACACATTAGCCGTAACATATATATGATATACGTATGTATTTTATACATTAACATGTTTGGTCTGGGCATGTGACGGCCGAGGACTTTGTGCATAGAGTATAGACTTTGTTGTCCTATTTTATAACGTAAATTATCCGAAACAAACTCACAAATATTAAATTTTTGAAAATGTAAACAAAACACAGAAAAAGAATTTAAAAAGTTAGGTTATGGTTATGCAGTAGTTCCACATTTAAGTAAGTAGTAGTTTAATTGACTTTACCCCTTCGATCTTAGCGCCACCTAGCGGCTTGGCACGTTAAGGAAGCCACCACGAAGCTTAAAGTTGCAAGACCTGTATATAAGACCGTGCCACCTTCCCTAAATGACATTTTATAGGTTAATTTTGTGGTTTTTGTAACCAAGTAAACGATACATTATGGGAACAGACCTGTAATATTTTACGGGCTTGTTTAAAAGACCTGTATAAGGTTTTACAGGCTTGTAGAAAAGCAATTTATGAAATGAAATGTCACATTTGAAATATTAATTAAAACTTTAAATTTGAAAATCGTTAAAGGTGAAAATAAAAGTTTGTACGTGTCACGCTTTGCAATTAATCTTTACTAGGCTCACTGGAATATGGGGTTTGCTCCTGCGTCGCTCACCCCACAATCTTCCAGCTCGCCTGTAAAGATTCATTTACAAAGCTTGATACGAAAATAACTATAAAAGGTCTTTATCACCCTGTATTTGAGCTGTCAAGTTTACGCATGCGTTGACATTCATATTTTTGGCGCTCGAGAACGAGACCTACAGCCTATTTAACCTATATTTATTTACATAATGAACCTAATTAAAAAACTAAAAACATCTTAAAGGTACCTACATAGTTGTTTTTTATTTTTATGCATTGTTTATAAAGTTTTTGTGTTTTAGATTGCTTTTAAACATGAATATAAATTGTGTTATTTGCAGTGATTTGTTTGAAGCACATTCTGAAGTTTACAGCACACAATGCGGTCATACGTTTCATTATGCATGTCTTATGCACTGGATGGAAAGGTTATGGAAAATTACACAATTGTTTTGATTTTATTAACTTTTTATTGTAGATCGAAAAGTTGCCCCCAGTGCAGAAACAAATGTACGGACAAGACAATACATAGGGTTTATTTCAATATATCAAACACTGAGCATATAAAAGAAGATGTGGGAACGCTGCAGAGTAAATTGGATAACCTAAATTTTCAGATAAAGCTAAAAGACAAGGATATCAAAAATTTTGGTGAAAAATATACCAAAATTAAAAAAAATAATGCGGCCTTAAGGTTCTCATATTTTTGTAATATAGGTTGTTAGGTGTATTAGTACATGTTGTAATATGTTATAATTATTTAGGTAATAAACTGAAAAGTTTTTCTTAAAAATGAAAACAAAGCAATATTTTCTTCTGGCATATTCAGTTACTGTGCTTATTTACCTACCACTCTGTAGATTGCTTTCACTAATTATTATCCTTTTAGAGAAGAAGTACAACAACTGGAACATGGAAAAAAAGTATTTGAGTCTGCGATACATGCTTTGAAAGACCAACTATCATACTTCAAGTCCAAGGCAAAGGACGTTGAAAAAATAATCGAAGAAAATCAAAAGCTAAAAACAAGATTAAAGGATGTGGAAAATGTACAGCAAGCAATTAACGGCAGCAGGGCTGAAGTAAACGAAATGATCAAGAACCAAAATAATATAGAATCACTGGCCATATTAGCAGCAATGTTAAAAAAGTATACCTACTAACCAATGTTGATCTCATATTTTTTTTTTAAATTAAATTACGTTTTAGATCACTCTTAGAGGCTGAAAGAAAGAAAAGAGATTCTGACCATACATTAAAACAATCTTTAAATGATGTTACCAAGTACAGACGGGAAGCTAACACTTTTGAATGTCAATATAATGAAATGAAGTAAGTTTGACATTTTTAGGTTATAAAACGTTGACGTTTAGAAGTCATAATTTGACATTTTTAGGTTAAATGGAAAATGTTAACTTTTAAATGTCAGATGTTTTAGGCTTTATGATTGTAAAATATTTTGTAGAACTGAACTGGAACAAGTTAAAACAAATTGGAATCAAGAAAAACAATACCTAAAAAATAAAATAGTTGAATTAGATGAAAAATTAAGAAATAAATGTGATACTTCTCAGGATATAACCAATAGCAGTATTAAGAGAATAATGGATGAAAGTCCTATAAATTTTAATAGAAGGCCAAAATTAACTTCTTCAAATGAAATTGATTTAAGTGATTCACCACTTTCAATGGTATGTATTGAAAATATGTTATATTTATAAACTATTGTATACACATAAAAAAATATTATTCTTTGGATGGACAGGCAACTAGCAATAGATATATTTTTTACTGTCTTTATGTTTTTTAGAGTGATAAAGTAAATAGGATTATTAATTCAGATTCTCCATATGTACCTGTTAAAAGTAGTTCTGTTGGAATTGCTTTGTTAAACACTAAATATACCACAAAACCATCCACATCCACAAAGGTAAATACACAGTGTGACAAATATTTTCACAAAAGAAGACCACAACTTCTTATCTTAAAATAAGTAATTTCAACCCAACATTAATAAAATAAAGTAGCCAATCACAGGCGTGTTTTAGCAGAATGATTAGAGGTGGGAGAACTATGATGTGCAGCTTAATATTAGAAATTCTATATAAAATCGTAGTGTAACATGACCTTAATTATATGGTTGTCATTGTCACTGTCAGTGTTTTAGTTTTTAGGTTAGTTTTAACTTAAGGCACTCTTTCTTTAGGGAAAATTGGTGGCCCTAATCGTTTTAAACGTTGTGTTTCTTACAGAGGCGCTTTAAGCTTAAAAGTGCTAAGAACGACCGTTTTACGGTAAAAATAAACCTTATTCTATCAGGGCTGTCATTAAACTGTCAAATTTCAATTTTAAGGTTAATTTACCATGACCCACAAATTTAAATTTGATAGTTTGGTGACAGCCCTGATAGAATAAGGTTTAAAATGGTTTTTTTAGCACTTAAAGGCCTCATTTGAGGCTTACAAGTGCCTCTGCAGTGTTGCCAGATAAAAAAATTTCATGTCGCCACCAGAGGCGGCGAAAGTCGCCAAAGTAAAGTAAAAGTCGCCAGTTTTTTTAAGTACATTTTTTTGTAAATTTTGTGTTGTAAAATAAAAAAATAACTGAACATCGTTTAGGGTACGCCTCGATGCATCGAAACTCAATAGATCGAATCTCGCTAGATCGAAAATTTACATGACCTTCGAAGCTCACCAGATCGAAAATGTGTGGCAACGTCTCTTTTGAAACGTCAAAGGCTTAAGGCTTTGTTCACATGTTTTATACAAAAAACGTATTTTCTTAAATGAGATCTACCTACTTTCGTTCAAACAAGATTTCGGTCAAAGAAAAGTAGTATACATCTGAACCAGAATCTGGCAGATAGGTATGCAATGATATTTATCAAACAAAAGTACAGATAAATATAAAATCCCCTTCTCAGATTTTTTTTTAATTTCGGAAAATTCATATATAAAATAATAATTATTGGAATAAATTTTGGAAAGTGTTGTCAATGTATAAGGGGAATAACCATACATTCCTCGCAAATAAATCATGGAAAATGCATGGTTTTATAAATAAATATTAATATACTCATATGCATGGTTTTATAAATAAATATTAATATACCTACTTACTCATATTGTGAGTTACGTGTAAGGGGCAATTCATTAATTACGTAAGGGTCCCGATGTGGGAGGGGGGGTTCTCAAAATCTCCCCATACCCTTATCTCGGGGGAGGGGGGCTAAAAGCCATTCTTATCATTTTCTAAAACCAGATAAAATCTTACGTAAGAAGGGGGAGGGGGAGTCCGAAAAATCTTATGTGATCTTACATGGGGACAGGGGGTCAAAAATGGCCAAAATCGTCCTTACGTAATTAATGAATGGCCGCTAAGTGTAACTTGGTGTTATATCCAGGACTCATGGAGGGTTATTTTTTTTATATGGAGTAGGTATGCTTTAACTAATTAGTTTTTTACTTTTTTCTGTGATGTATTTAAAGATGTGGGTATTATCTTTGCTTCAATGTAGGGATATATATATATATATATATATATATATAAACTCAAACGGTATACCCTATAGGTATAGGGTATACCCTTTGAGTTTTTCTGTACAGATTAACCTGAAGGGTAAATACACGAAAGCAAAGATAATACCTACATCCATATTACGTAAAATATTAAAGATTAAATGATTTGAAGCCATATTATTTCAGATTTACATAAGGGAACATTTTTAGAAAGAAAATACAGGATTGTTGTGGGGATATTCATATTTCTATTGTAAATTATAATACAAAATTATATAAAAAATATTTATTTTCTCTTATAAAACAAAAATATTATGTTACCTAGGTATTATAAAAAACTGTAAATAATCAAATAAAAAAAAATCTGGTATTGCCACGTTCTTCGTGGAAAACTTCAGGCTGATCCTTCAGAGGATTCCTCGGTTTCTGGTGGTGCTTCGGTAAATTCTGCGGAGGCATCGGCTAACGCTGCATTTGCTGATGCTGCCGCATGTAGTTGGCGCTGGGCTTTTGACAGATAGATTTAATTCTAAATTTGCCTTGTTGTCGCTGCCAAATGATTCGTTATACAGATTCTGTAATCATGTTAGCATTAACAATGAGTTAAAACTTAAATTCCAGTTATGTTTTGATCAACTCTTTTCCTCACCACCCTTGAGGTAGAGTCCAAGGCGCGTTTTTTTTAACGTGGTTTCCCCAGTAGGCCTATTCCACGGTCATAAACAATAAACTTACGGATGCGTCAATGCTAATTTCGGAATCTTCTTCGCCAGTTTAGATAGGAGCAACATAATCCAATAGGATGAACAAGAGCTTGCTGCAGAATATATCGTCATATTTATGAATTAATGAATGATGAATGAATGATGAATGAATGATGCATGAATGAAAAATAATGAATGAATAAATGCCGAATGAATGATGAATGGATGATAAATGGATGACGAATGAATAATGCATAAATGATTAATGCATGATACATGAACGATGATGAATGAATGATGAATGAATGAATTATGAATGAATGATGAATGAACGAAGAATAAATGTTAAATGAATAAATGAATGATGAACGAATGATGAATGAATAATTGATGAATGAATGAATGATGAATGAAGCAATGAGGTCTATGAAAACGAAACTTCCACACAACCTGATCCCGAAGCATTGCCAATATCAACCCCGCAAGGCTTGAGAAGTCACCTAGGAAAAAAAAAGTATCCAAAGACCTATGAAAAAACAACATACCTACCTATTAATTAAAAATAAGCAAAAATTAATGCATTATTACAATCCATGAAAAAAATACATCTAATACAACACCTCAATGGGGGATGTCATTATGGGTGTTCGACAGTAAGGGCACCTAGTACTGGGCGAATCGTCCTCCTCATTCCTACGTTTCCGAAAACGTGAAGCACAACTCCGGCAAATGCAGTAATGTCTACATTCCCTTAGGAGAAACCTTCTACGCTTTCGAAAGCATACCACACACTGCCATTTGCGGATCTCTTCAGCTTCAGCTTCGGCAGCATCCTCAGAGGAACTGTCTTCCCCATCTAAAAATATAAACAATAAACATAACCTTGTGAGCATATAAAAATGATCTAATTGTATAATTATAATTTTCCAAAACATTCCAGAAGTTTCAATTATTGAAATAATAAGGGGAACGTGAAATTTTTGGTGTTTAAAAAATTTAAAAATTAAAAAATGGCTTAAGGACGATAGTCAATGGCCTATTGAAGAAATTAGTTTGTCAATGAACAATTGTTCATTGACAAACTAATTTCTTCAAAAGGCCATTAACATTTATTATTATTTTAAATAAAAACAACGTAATTTATCATTAATGATTTTCGAACTAGCCCAAGCTTGAGGGCAACCCAAATATTAAAACAATTCATTCAAGTTTATTTAAATAAAATACACTAACCATTAGGGGGCTCTTCCTCTTCATCCTCGCTGCTCTCAGGAATGGGTAGCGGAGGAAAATTCCAAATAATTTCTAAAAATTATTAAAATCACATGTAATGCATTCTTCTTATATCATATAAGCTGGATAGTATACCTTCTTCATCCCCTACTGGAGCAGGCTCTTCCTCATCTTGGATTTTAATAAAACAAAAATGAAATTATTATTGTTACAATTTTTAAAAATTTATATAAACCGCAATCCACACAATCACGAATAATTGTGTTAAACTCACCATCGACAACAGCGGCTTCCAGTTCCTGTGGAATTACAGGGTTCTCCACAGCTTCAACTAAATTTTCCGGAACAACTAAAATAAATAAAAAAAATTAATGTGACATGTAAACTAAATGCAATGTAAATGAAAAAGTGATGTTGGTATTTCTTTGGGTTAAACTCACCATTTACTGGAGCAGGCTCTTCCTCACCTTGGACTTAAAAAAATGAAATTATTATTGTTACAATTTTTAAAAATTTATATAAACCGCAATCCACACAATCACGAATAATTGTGTTAAACTCACCATCGACAACAGCGGCTTCCAGTTCCTGTGGAATTACAGGGTTCTCCACAGCTTCAACTAAATTTTCCGGAACAACTAAAATAAATAAAAAAAATTAATGTGACATGTAAACTAAATGCAATGTAAATGAAAAAGTGATGTTGGTATTTCTTTGAGTTAAACTCACCATTTACTGGAGCAGGCTCTTCCTCACCTTGGACTTATAAAAATGAAATTATTATTGTTACAATTTTTAAAAATTTATATAAACCGCAATGCACACAATCACGAATAATTGTGTTAAACTCACCATCGACAACAGCGGCTTCCAGTTCCTGTGGAATTTCAGGGTTCTCCACAGCTTCAACTAAATTTTCCGGAACAACTAAAATAAATAAAAAAAATTAATGTGACATGTAAACTAAATGCAATGTAAATGAAAAAGTGATGTTGGTATTTCTTTGAGTTAAACTCACCATTTACTGGAGCAGGCTCTTCCTCACCTTGGACTTATAAAAATGAAATTATTATTGTTACAATTTTTAAAAATTTATATAAACCGCAATGCACACAATCACGAATAATTGTGTTAAACTCACCATCGACAACAGCGGCTTCCAGTTCCTGTGGAATTACAGGGTTCTCCACAGCTTCAACTAAATTTTCCGGAACAACTAAAATAAATAAAAAAAATTAATGTGACATGTAAACTAAATGCAATGTAAATGAAAATGTGATATTGGTATTTATACGGGTTATTTAAACTCACCATCAACAACAGCGGCTTCCTGTCGAATTATAGGGTTACCCACAACCTCAAAATTATCCTCATCGTCTTCATCTGTAGTGTTGTCATCTAGAAAAACTAAAAAATAAAAATATACCAAATTATTTTTACCATCAATTGATTTAAAATATATTGAATTAAGTAAT